ACCTGGGGTTGCGATCCCCTTACGGGTCAAAAAAAAAAAAAAAAAAAAGAGTAACACTAAATCAGTATGACAGTAAAATAATTAGTTACCTTCTAACAACACAACTGCAAATTAAGCTAATGCTTCTATGGGGGTGCACAGGGCTGCATGCAGGGCTGAAGGCTTGTGCAGCTGCAACTCAGGTGCGGCACCAGAAATGCCACACTGGAGCCAGAGACAGACACCCCCAGTGGAGAGTGCACAGATTGCCAGGAAAAAGACCAAGGAAATCAAAGTGAATTTGAGAGGAAAGGAGAGAAAGAATAAAAGTAAGAAAAGGAAAGCAGAAGTGGTTCCTTTTGGGGGGGAAATGGAGGGGAAGGTGCTTTAATGAAGATTCAAAAAGATTATTGACCTGCAATGAACTTAGGCCTAGTTGTTCCAACAATGAAGCAATATTGTGACTACCACTGAACATCTGTTTCTAGTTTAGCTTATGTAATCACAAGTGGTTTTTTAAATCTATGTTCTATATTTTTATTATATTGATAAGTTTGATGAAAGTCTATGTTTGAAAGAGTAAAATAATATATTATTTTATTATGTTGTCAATTTTTTTCCTTTGGATTTTAAGTTTCAAAATTATTTTAGGTAATAATTTTTGTTTTACTCAAAAATATGCTATTAGTTAATAATACAGGGCCGGCCCGGTGGCGCACTGCTACCGTGCACCGCTTAGGAGCGCGGCTGCCCTCCCGCCGAGGGTTCGGATCTCACATACAGACCAGCGGCCGCTCACTGGCTGAGCGAGGTGCGGGTGCAACACCGAGGGTTGCGATTGACCCTCAAGGCCAATATTTACTAATTATAGCGGTGACTCAAACACATTTACCTAAATGAGTACTATACTACAAAGTATAAAAGTATAAAAGTAAAAACTACATTTATTTCCAAGATGATGTCAATATTCCAAACTTTTCACAACTTCTCTTTAGAAAAGAAATACATAATTTCTACGGAAAGGAAAAAAAATCAATTTCATTATTTTACAACACCCAAAATAATAAATCGACTCTCAGAGATGAGACATGTTTTCCTTAAACCTCTCTTCTCCCTCAGCTCCAGTGTTGCCCCAAAGTGGTTCTTATCTCTAATTTCTGGCTTTTCTCCTTCTACTCATGACCTACTCTAGCCATTTCTCAAGACCCTCTTCTCTCCTTTTTCCAAGCTTCAACTACTAGATTCTGTACCAATGGCCCCACATTGCCAAGGATATCATCTCCAGCTGAATATCCATCCATCAAGGACCTCATGAAAAAAAAAAAAAAAAAACTCTACATATTCAAAACTATTATTTCTTCTCAAAACAGCTCTTTCTCATAACTTTCCCACTTCCATTAAAAACCACTTTGGTCAACCATAGTTGAAATTGAGGCATTTCCGGGTCTGTCCTTTCCTTTTCTCCTCACACCCAATCATGGGTCAAGGCCTGTTCCTTGACCCACCAATAGACCATTCCTCCTTTGTCCATCTTCACTTCCTCTAGGCCCATTACCTCTCATCTAGGCTACTGTAATAGTTTCCTAACTCCTATTTGCTCAATTCACTCCAGCCAGCACATATGCTATTTCCCATGTAACTTTCTACAGTGTACGTCTGATCATGGCCAATCACCCCTCAGAAAACTTGGAGGCCCCCTGGCATCTACCTAACTAGCCTGATATTCAAAGTTCCATGCATTAACCCCAATCTCCTTCTCCAGCTTTATCACCAGCAATAACTCTATCCATTACACAATAAGAACACA